GATTAAATGGTTTTCAATGCATTCCTATGGGAAAATTTGGTTCTACAGTACTTACAAACGTTTCAACTAACGAACGTTTTCTGGGACGGATTAAGTTCATAAGTACAGGTTCCACTGTACTTATACATGAGTACTATACTTGCTGTGCCTCCTTGACAGGGACTGGATTCAATGATCCATAGGGTCCCTTCCACCTCTGCAGTTTGAAAATTATCATTGTTATTGTTGTTAAATTAAAAAAAATCAGGTTTTTTTTTACTATTTAAATTTTCTTAAAAAAAATTTTTTTTGGTTTGGCTATAACTAGAAATCTCTGTAGGGCTGTTCTGCATGCAGGATGGATAACAATTTTTATATCAAATTGATTTAAATCACAATTTAAAGTTTTTTTTAAATTAAATAGTCAAAAAATTTTTAAACAAATTTAATCATCATCTTCTTAGAACTGTAGACGGGTTCCTATGGCTCATTGAGTTCATCAGCCCCTGTCAAGGAGGCACGGTGAGAAATCAAATTCCCAGATAGTACAAACAGGAACGAAGCACACATTTCGCTGTTTGGCTCAGTTCAATTACCAGCCCAATAAGTGTTCTGTGGTTTGGCACACTAACCCTTCCGGCAGTGCCCTGAAGATTTGGGGAAGGGAAGCTGGACTGCTGCTTCTGAGAGGGTGCCTGCTGGAGGGGCGGGGGCACAGAACTATGGAACACCTGTTGGGCTGGTAAATGAACTAGGCTGAACTGCCAAACTGGCGGTCCGTGCCCATCTCTACCAATGGTTTACGTATCTGGCTGTGGGGCCTGAGGTTGCTTGTTCGATTCCCCACTGTAACTCCTTGACAGGGACTCAACTCTATGATTCACAAGGTTCCTTCCAGCTCATCAGTTCCAACGTTATTGATGATGTTGTTATTTTATTTAATTTACAGCTTCTTGTCCTCCACTCTACCTTTCAGATCCCTAGGCTGCTCTTTGGCTCCAGGGAAGCCTTTGGGAGTCTCAGGATGCAAACATTTCCCCCCACTCCCATTTTGTTAATTAAATTATAAACACAAATCAATTATACAGTTGTGCCCCGCTGGACGATTACCCCGCTCTACGACAAATCCGCTTTACTGTACGTTGACCTTTTTGCGATCGCTTTTGCAATCACAAAACAATATTTTAAATGAGGTTTTTTCGCTGTGCGATGATCAGTTCCCTGCTTCTGGAACCGATTTTCGCTTTACGACGATCAGCAAACAGCTGATTGTCGGGGTTCAGAATGGCCACTGGCTGAAGAAAACACCCCCCCGCTGTTTTCTAGGATGGATTCCTTGCTTTACAGGCACCGAAAGTGGCCGCTGTATGGAGGATCTTCGCTGGACGAGCAGGTATTCAGCCCATTGGAACGCATTGAACAGTTTTCAATGTGTTTCAGTGGGTTTTTTTATTTCATTTGACGACGTTTTCACTCTACAGTGATTTTGCTGGGACGAATTAACATTGTCAAGCGAGGCAACACTGTAATATGCATTTTTCTTTATATAACTATGTGTTCCACAAAATTAGCCTTGGTCAACAATCTGGTTGCAACATTTTGGATCAGCTGATAGTTTCTCTGCCACTTCGAAATCCAGCTTGTACTTCTGGGAGTTCTAAGTCCACATACTACTGAAGCCTACCTTGTAGGATTTTGAGCATAACCTTGTGTGAAATGAGTGCAATTGTATGGTAGTTGGAGCATTCTTTGGCACTGCCCTTTGGGATTGGGATATAGACTCCTCTTTTCCAGTCCACTGCTTAGTTTTCCAAACTTGCTGTCATATTGCGTGTAACACCTTAACAGCGCAATCTTTTAAGATTTTAAATAGTTCCACTGGAATGCCATCACCTCCAGTGGCCTTGTTGTTAGCTATGCTTTCTAAGTCCCACGTGACTTCGCTCTCCAGGATGTCTGGCTCAAGGTCAGCAACCACACTATCTGGGTTGTTTGGGACATCCAGATCTTTCTGGTATAATTCCTGAGTGTATTCTTGCCACCTCTTCTTGATGTCTTCTACTTCTGTTAGGTCCCTACCATTTTTGTCCTTTATCATGTCCATCTTTGCATAAAAGGTTCCTTTAATATCTCAAATCAGATCTCTGATTTTTCTCTTTCTATTATTTTCCTCTGTCACTTTGCACTGTTCATTTAAGAAGGCCCTCTTGTCTCTCCTTGCTATTCTTTGGAAGTCTGCATTCCATTTTCTGTAACTTCCCCTATCTCCATTGCATTTTGTTTCCCTTCTCTTCTGTTTGTAAGGCCTCATTGGACAGTCACTTTGCTTTATTTATTTATTTATTTTATTTATATCCCGCCTATCTGGTTGTTGAAGACCACTCTAGGCGGCTAACATACGGAGCATTTTATAATGGTCTTGAATAATGAAGGCACAATCTACAGCAGAATTTGAAAACATTCATTTGAAATGTTTGCCTTTTATTACAAATACCTGCCTTGAAGATATATAACAAATCAATGTCATAACAGCTTTGTTAAACTTTTAGATCACCATCATAAATATATTTGCACATGTACTTGACTGTGTTCCATGTCCTATGCAGTTTCTAGTTACCTGTTGTTTCTGACACAACAGGAAGGACCACTTGTCCTTTCCTACACATTTGTTGGTGCATCAAATTTGAGGAGCAGCCAGTCATAAAATCCAAGTTTGCATGTTGGGTGAACACTGTTCTCCAAGGACATACCCTCCTAGGCTAGGTATTCAGTTAAAGATAGCTAACAATCCATTCCAATGTAACAACTACATTCACTTTCTTGCATTTCCTTTTCTTTGGGATGTTTTTTGTTGCTGCCTCCTGTACAATGTTACGAGCCTCCATCCATAGTTCTTCAGGCACTCTGTCCACCAAATCTAGTTTCTTAAATCTGTTCTTCACTTCCACTGTGTATTTATAAGGGATTTGGTTTAGATTATACCTGAGTAGCCCAGTGGTTTTTCCTACTCTCTTCAGTTTGAGTTTTGCTATAAGAAGCTATTGATCAGAGCCACAATCAGCTCCAGGTCTTGTTTTTGCTGACTGTATAGAGCTTCTTCATCTTTGGCTGCAGAGAACATAATCAATCTGATTTTGGTATTGCCTATCTGGTGATTTCCATGTGTAGAGTTGCCTCTTGCGTTGTTGGAAGAGTGTTTGTGATGACCAGCTTGTTCTCTTGACAAAACTCTATTAGCCTTTGCCCTGCTTTGTTTTGAACTCCAAGGCCAAACTTACTTGTTGTTCCTTTTATCTCTTGACTCCCTACTTTAGCATTCCAGCCGCCTGTAATGACAAGAACATCTTTCTTTGATGTCAGTTCTGGAAGGTGTTGTAAGTCTTCATAGAACTGGTCAGTTTCAGCCTCTTCAGCATCAGTGGGTGGTGCATAAATTTGGATTCCTGTGATGTTGAAAGGTCCACCTTGGGTTTGTATTGAAATCATTCTATCATTTTTGAGATTGTATCCCAGTACAGCTTTTCCCACTCTTTTGTTGACTATGAGGGCTACTCCATTCCTTCTACGGGATCTTGCCCACAATAGTAGATATGAGAATTGTCTGGATTGAATTTGCCCATTCCCTTCCATTTTGTAGTTCACTGACGCCCAGGATGTAAATGTTTATTCTTGCCATCTCCTGTTTGACCACATCCAGCTTACCAAGGTTCATAGATCTTACATTCCAGGTTCCTATGTAGTATTTTTCTTTGCAGTACTGGACTTTCCTTTTACTTCAAGGCGCATCCGCAGCTGAGCGTCCTTTCGGCTTTTGCCCAACCACTTCATTAGCTCTGGAGTTACTTGTACTTGGTCCTCCGCTCTTCCTCAGTAGCATGATGGATGCCTTCTGACCTGAGGGGCTCATCTTCCGGCGTCATATCTTTTAGGCTTTTGTTTCTGTCCATGGAGTTTTCTTGGCAAAGATACAGGAGTGGCTTGGCAGTTCCTGCTCCAGGGGGATCGCGTTTAGTCAGAACTCTCCACTATGACCTGTCTGTCTTGGGTGTCCCTGCATAGCAATGCCCATAGCTTCTCTGAATTACTCAAACCCCTTCACCATGTCTAGGCAGCAATCCATGAAGGCTAGAACTCCACTATACTATATCCTGGAATTACAGAATATACTTTACCCACCAAGATATAAACCCTCTTGGACTCTTATCGCCTGTTCAAATCTCCCATTAGAATCTCACAGGATCGCCTCCCACTGCCTTGGGCAACCACTTCCAGGTTTTAAATTTTCTTCTACTTTCTGATTTGTTTTCCTCATCTCCAAGCATGAGACACTTTCTCTCTCTCTGGGCCTGTCCAGACCGGCTGTTTTCAAGAAGGCTGGATTGGGCTACAGAGGGTGGCTGAGGTCGTGTGTGTGTGTGTGAGAGAGATGTGCCATTTGGTGTTCTTTTCCTGTGAATCAGCCCTTGTAGCCCAATCTACTGTCAATTAAGCACTTCCCCTCATTATCTGCAGATGGCCGGGGAGTGTGTGTGAAAAAATATATTTTTGTAAATTTATTTAAAAAATAAAAACATTTATAATGAATTTATTTAGCAGAGAATGTATTAGTCCCATCAAAGGTTGTGCCTTTTACATAACTGTGCAACAAGATTCCATCCTATACCTATGTGCATGTGTGTGTACACAAACACACACACACACACACACACACACACACACACACACACAGAATTTATCTGGAGTCTTCGATGCAGCTATAATTAAAAGATCATTTTGCTTCATATACCTCAGTATAACCATGTAATTGTTGATAAGGACCTCTTTGTAATTAATTAGAACAAGATTTATTGGGCCATTGTTATTAAAACTCCTTATCCCCCCCCCCCCGCCTCTCATCCCTACAGTATTTTGCGCTCTTATGTGTATAAACCTGGGGGCGGGACTAACTATCACGCTCCTTGTGTTTGAGGATATGGATAGAACGTCGCCAAAGCTGAGGCGGAAATAAATCCGGGCGTGGTTGAACAGAAACTACAACTCCCACAAGCCACTGCGAACCCTTTCGGCCTCTTGCCCGCAGGCGATCTCTCCGGCGTGCTTGCAGCTACGAAAATGGCCGCAAGTAGCGGTGGCGGCGGCAGCGGCGGCGGCGCCGGGTCTGAGAGTAATATTCCGGAGTACGAGACCCCGGAGCTGAATACTCGCGTGTTCCACGTGGGCTCCTTCGGGGCTCTCTGGAAATCGGAGCTGCGGCCGGAAGACCTGTCTCTACAGGCGGCGGCGGCGGATAGCGACGAGGCCGTGGCCGAAGAACTCAGTTGTCCGCCTGAGCTGGCCGCCGAGCTGAGGACGGTGTTGACCAGAGAGGCTTGTGGAGGCGGGGCCGGGGGAAGGGGGGGGAAGCCTGTTGCTCCATCTGCGTTACCTGCCTTCCAGGACCCGTTTGCTTGGAGGAACGCCCGAATGGAGCTCCATCAGATGGGTTCAGCCGCGGCAGGCGCCGGACTTTGCACGGCTGGGGTTGCGCTGTCCGCGCGATCACCTGGCCCCTCTTCACTGTACGGTGTTCCGATTGCACACCCCTAAAACTCGGTCGATCTGTGTCGGGCTTACTTATGAGTAAGCATCGATACAATGCGGGCAAGCGTGCACGCTGGTGCTTATTGAAGAAGAGGGTCGGTGGCGCCCTGGCGTTCATGTCAGCCTGGCTATTTGTGAGCAAGCTTCGAGTCGGGGGTTGAACTTCCTTGCTGTCCCTGACGCACTTGCAGCCCGGTCGTGCACGTGTTTGTGCATTCTGAAGCTCCACGGAGCTCAAGAGTGCTTCTTGCTAAGGTCGTTTGCACAGAACTACAGCCTCAAGTCAAACTTCCAATCCCGGGAAGCCTAACAGGAAGTAATTCTTCCTCCGATTATAGGTCGCTCAAACTAGAGAGATAGAAAAAGTGATAGAGTGACGCACGATTTAAAGAGACTTTTTCCGTGAGAGTTTCCTGTGTAAATCAATGAAGACTTTGAGTAACTAAGCGTAGTTATGATTGAGCAGCAATTTTCGGGACCCATCTCCATTCCTATTTAGCACCAAATTTGGGCATTGCTGTTCTTCCTAATGTGTGTCTTATTTCAAAAGATGAGTTGTAAAAACCAGCAGGACTGTACTGTATATAGGTGAAATTATTCAAGTCAGTGGCAAACAGACTGATCCACACAGCGGGAGATGGATGGAGATATACCATGATGTAAGCGCATTGGATTATATTCGCAGGTTACCATAGATTGCTGTCTTGGCTCAGTCTGCCCCGCCCCAGTTGCCCTCGGCAGTAACAGCATTTTAGGATTATTGCAAACCCACCCATCCCTAACCCCACATATAAAATGGGGATTTATGTGGTGTGAAATTGCTTCTGACTCTGAGACGGTTTTCAAAGTATGTGAGATGTTCAAATAATGTTTTACCATGGACTCATTGTAGTGAGCTTCCATAGTTAAGCACAGGGTGGATTTGATTTAAATCACGATTTTTAAATGTAAAGTCTCATTCTTGCAGGTAGTTTTAATCTTTAATATCTGCAACTAGATGATTTCATATGTAGAATAATAACTAGAGGAGGGGCTTTGTATTCGTATACGAATATGAAGCCCACTGGCACAGGTGGCTGGCTTGATGAACACCCACCACCAGACCCTGCCCGATCATTGACCACATGGCATGAGTGAGTGGTGTCATTGTGTGTGCCCCAATCGTGCTAATAAATTGACTTCTGCAGCCCCACCTCCCTGCTCACGCAACCACTCTGGCAAGGGGGTTGGAGGATGAGTTTCCCTACTCAGCTTCCGAGTGGCTGACTGAGCAGGGAGGTGGGGCTGCAACAGCCAACCTACTGCAGCAATTGAGATGATGATGCCAGCCACACGCACCATGCTGTAACTGGTCCGGCGGGGTCTGGGGGTGGGTATTGATCACGTTGGCCACCTGTGCCAGCAGGCTTCATATTTGTATATGAATACAAAGCCCCTGTCTCTAATAATAATTTGTCAGATTAGTAAAATGATTTTAGTTTAATCAGAAATGATTTTAGTTTAATCAGAAATGATTTTAGTTTATCATAAAACCATAGAAAAGTGAATTTGGAAGGGGCCTACAAGGTCACCAAATCCAACCCCCTGCTCAACGCAGGAATACAGTCAAAACATATCTGCCAGATGATTATCTCAGTTTTTCTTTAATACCTCCAATGTTGGAGCACTCACCAACTCCTGAGGTAACTGGTTCCTCTGTCGTACTGCTCTAACAGTTAGGAGGTTCTTCCTGATATTCAGCCAGAATCTGGCTTCCTTTGAGCCCATTGTTGTGAGTCCTGCACTCTGGGATGATCGAGAATAGATCTTGCCCCTCTGTATGACAGCCTTTCAAATATTTGAGAAGTGCTATCATATCACCCTTTAAGTCTTCTTTTCTCAAGGCTAAACATGCCCAATTCTTTCAGCCTTTCCTCATAAGGCTTGGTTTCCAGCCCTCTGATCATCCTTGTCACCCTCCTCTGAACTTGTGCCAATTTGTTAGCATCCTTCTTGAAGTGTGGTGTCCAGAAGTGGACACAGTGCTCAAAGTGAAGCCTAACCAGTGCTGAATAGAGGGGGACTAGCACCTCGTGGGATTTGGAGACGGTACTTCTGTTAATGTAGCCTAAAATAGCATTAGCCTTTTGTGATTGGGTTCATTAAAGATTGGGAGTAGTTCCTCATTTTTTGGCGGGAAATGACAACTGAGTCTCTTTTTGAACGTTAACGGGTTTATTTGGTTTACCATTGGGCGAATCCACAACAACTTCTATGGGTTCAAACATCAGGTAACTGTCCAGACTGTGGAGACAACATTTCTGGCTCAGAACCAACAGGATTCATTGTGGGGCTGGCCCAAAACATTCTCAGTCGGTGGGCTTCCTCATTGGAGCATTCCAGACCGCGCAAATTGTCCCACAACAGGGATGTCGGGCCCAAACGCCCTCCAGTGGTGGATGGTTGAAGGAAGAGTCTGGACAAATCACCTTCCTCGAGGGACTTATACCCGTGGAAAAACCACAACCATCCATTCTAGCGGATCCACCGATGTACAACTCTCTTTAGGTGTATCTGGATTAGGCAGTAATCCTCCTACCTTCAAATTAGGGAAATCCTCTAACAGCCCTCTCATCCTATCATATTTCAATTCCTTCTCCTTTCCCTTTTCTCCTTCTCCCTTCTTTCCTCCTGTCGCTGGTATTCTGAATTCCCTTCATCTCCCCTCCTCTCCTGTTTCCTCCTCCCACATGGGTAGAATTAACTCCTTCCCTCTTTCTCCCTTTCTCTCTTCCACCAGACAAATCTCAACCTTTTCCTTCTTTCTCTTTGATTTCCTTTCCTTCTCCTCTTCTACCTTCAACTCTTTCATCTCAGTTGTCTCAGTTTGAGGGGACGGCTCACTCTATTCTTTCTCATGTTTCTCTACAGCTCCTTCACACCTTTTTTGTAGCCACATCACACTGTTAGCTCATATTTAGCTTGTGATCTACGACAAATCCAAGATACTTCAAGGTCGTTGTTTTGCTGAGTCAGGTATCCCCCATCTTGTAACTGTGCAGTTGGTTTCTTTTTCCGAGGTGCAGTACTTTGCACTTAACCCTGTTGAATTTCATTCTGTTGCTCTTGGCTCAGTGCTCCATCCTATCAAGGTCATTTTGAATGTTTTTTCTGTTTTCTAGGGTATTAGTTATTCTGCCCAGTTTAATATCATCTGCAAATTTGACAAGCATTCCCTGCACTCCTTCATCCAAGTCATTAATAAAAATATTGAAGAGTCTCGGGCCCAGTAGTGAGCCTTGGGGTATCTCACTTGTTACCTCTCCCAGTTAGAGAAGGACCCTCATCACCCTCTGAGTACGATTCTTTACCAAATGTATATCCACACATTCTATCCAGCCCACACTTAGTTAGCTTGCTAATCAGGATACCATGGGGCACTTTGTCAAAAAGCTTTGCTGAAGTCAAGATAAACTACATCTATAGCATTCCCTCTGTCTATCAGGGACGTGACCTGATAAAAAAAAAGAGATGAAATTAGTTTGGCAGGATTTGTTCTTGACAAATCCGTGTTGGCTTCTAGGTATTACTGCATTGTTTTCTAGGTGCTTGCACAATGACCGCTTAACGATCTGTTCCAGAATTTTGCCTGAGATTGATGTCAGCCTGACTGGCCTGTAGTTCCCAGGTTCCTCTTTTTTGCCCTTTTTGAAGATAGGGACAACATTAACCCTCCTCCAATCCTCTGGCACCTCACCCAATTCCCATGATTTCAAGAAAATAATGGATAGCGGTTTTTAAGCATTCTTCAGCCAGTTCCTTCAGTACTCTCGGATGCAGTTCATCCGGCCCTGGAGATTTGAACTCGTTCAAGGTGGTAAGGTATTTCTTGACTATTTGTTTATCTGTCTCCAGCTGCAATCCTGCCTACCCACTTGCACTTCCAATTTGTTTGGAAGTTCATAGTCAGTCTGTTTAGTAGGTTAATTACTCATATTTGGAGAACTACTTGAATTTATTTATTTATTTATTTATTTATTTATTTATTTATTTATTTATTTATTTATTTAACATATGCTGCCCATACTACCTAAAGGTCTCTGGGCGGCTTTTATTTATTGTTTTATTTAACTAAAACAATAACATTACATAACATATTCTAGTATGTGCTTAATAATGTTTATTAACTGAAGCGGTTAAAGTATTCTTTTAAAAATAATAGTGAATAAAGTTGACACATAACTTGTGCCTTTGCTTGGTGAAACAACCAAGGGTAACGTGGGAACATGACAACCGTTTTCTGTAGTTCAGTTGTCTTCATCTTCATGGAGTTCTGGACACCCCACTTCAAGAAAAGCTGTCATACACAGGAGGGGCAGGATCTGTTTTCGATCATCCCATTTGAACCTGGGGCTCCTGAGTCCTAGGTAAACACTATGCCAGTACAGTGGAGTCTCGACTTGCGTTCAGCTCCACTTACGAATTTTTTGACCTACGGATTTCTCCGGCCGCAAAGTTTCACTTAGACTTGCGGCTGGAGAATCGACCTACGGACCAGAAGGGTGAGGTGGGGAAAGCACCATATTCAAATTTTGCGCTTTCCTCGCCTCCCCCTTCCAGTCCGTAGGCTGCAGGTCTAAGCCCCGAAAGCCCAAAGCTGACAGTGGGTGCAGGGTGGCTTTCGGCTTCCAAAGCTGAGAGTGAGGGGGAAAGGCGGGGAAAGCCAAAAGCCGCTCTGCTCCCGCTGTCAGCTTTGGGCTTTCAGGGCTTAGAAAGCTGGACCCACTGGCCTCTTGTCTCCTGTCCCTGATGCCCCTCCTGTCCCTGATGCCTCTCCTGTCCCTGATGCCATCCCTGCGGGGATGGGGGGCAGAGGACAGTGGGGACAGAGGGCAGCGGGTGCAGCTTTCTAAGCCCTGGGAATTTTTTTCCCTCTGGCTGGAACGAATTAAATGATTTTCAGTGCATTCCTATGGGAAATGGATCCTCGACCTACAGAATTTTCGACCTGCAGCCATAGTTCCAATACGGATTAATTCTGTAAGTCAAGGATCCACTGTACACTGTACTGGCTCTCAGTGTGGGGATAACATACTACATTTGTATGGCTTGCATGGAGATGTGTGGAGTTTAAAATCGTAAAGAAAAATAGTTTCATGCACATTACACTTCTTGGCTATTGTCAGGGTTTGGCATTGTTGGGCTGTTTCCATGGACTGTGCTTCCATGGGGTGCAGCTTGCCTCAGGCAGCAGATACTAGGGCGGGCACAGCGTTCTTTATGTGGAGAAGAGTTTACTATTCATGGAGCCTCACGCACTGTCTGAAGTGCTACAGCTGACATATTTATTTTATGTTATTTATATACATCTTATGTAAGGAACTTACTGTAGTTTACAATATTCAAAAACCAGTATATAAAATATAATAAGCAAATCATTAAAACTATTGAAGAAACAAGAGTTAAAACTTTTTAAAACTTTATTGAAGACCCACCTCTTCAGGCAGGTTTTTAATAATCATCACTGAGTACACTTTAAAGAATGTGGGAAATGCTGTGAGGTTTGAGGCGAGCTGATTCACATCTTTTCTGTTGATCACATGATGCAATGGGAAGCTCAGCCTGGAGTTCCCCATTCCCAATCATTAGTTTTTCCTTTCCATCAGAGGGCCTTCTACTTTTAAACATTTGAATTCTTTCACATTATTTTAGACATGTGATCTTTTGAACCGCTATAGAAAGGAAAGCACCATTTCCCTTGCCTCCTGTCTCATTAGGGAAGTCCAGGAGAATGCATGTGTGCTCACACATGCGCAGACACAAACACTATTTATTTATTAAAATATTTTTACCCCACTTTTCTTCTTAGAAAAAGGACCCAAGGCAGCTTACAACATTTAAAGACAATATAAGGATCCCCAACACTCATTCCCAACAAAGCCTCTTTCCCAAGACATTTTTTAAACAGCTTCAGCTAAGTGGGCAGAGCTCCTGTTTATTCATTTACTTATTTACAGCTTAACAAGTTTTCCCACTAGGCAAGATAAGATGAGGAAATCAGTAAATTGACAAAGGAGAAGCCTTCTTAAGGTAGTTCCTTTGAACTGTGCCACCTACAGGTATTTCAGTAGAATTGCAATAACAGGCTTTTCTTGCCTCTCTCTGTGTGACTCTGTACATCAAAGAGAGCCAAATCCCCACCACCACCATGACTTCATAGCAGGAGAATGTGAGTGAATTTATATTTCTCTCCTTTTCACACTCTGAGTTCCTGGATACTAGTTTTCAGCTAAGTAAGTTTGCTTTAAGCATTTAAATGTTTCAAATCCCTTAATGTATTTTAAATCATTGTTAACATTTAAAAGCTTTTTCAGGTGTTATTTTTTTAAAAATTACAGTGGTGCCCTGCATTACGATGACCCTGCATGATGACAAAATCGCTTGACGACTTTGGTTCCTATGGGCTTTTTTTGCTTAACGATGATTAGGTCCCTGCTTCGGGAAACATTTTTTCGCTGGACGACAATTTTCCCAGCTGATAGTCGGGTTTCTAAAATGGCCTCCCACTGTTTTCTGACCCTTGTTTCAGAAGACAGGCATTAAAAACAGCTGATTGGGGCTCACATAGGCTGCCCTATGGAGGATCTTTGCTGGATGAGCAGGTATTTTCCCCATTGGAATGCATTAACCGGTTTTCAGTGCATTCCAATGGGGATTTTATTCTCGCATGACGACGATTTCGCTGTACAGTGATTTTGACAGAATGGATTATCGTCGTCATGCGGGGCACCACTACTTATTTTCACATTGCGAGCCACCTTGGGTTTCCGCATCAGTAGAAATGTGACCTACAAATGGTACAAAATAAATAAATAAAACATTTTTGAAAATATTAATATAAGATGACTCCCACCCACCATCCCATAATGTATATAAATGTAAATGTCAAATACTAGCTGTAGAAGGAATGCTTTTGTCTGCCAGCAGACAGACACAAGGAAGGGGCCAAACAAACCTGAAGAAAAGTATTCTGTAGTCTGGCAGCAGCTACTATAAAAATTCTGTCTCATGTCCTTACTGCATAAACCTCTGAAAGTTATGGGCTGAAGATCTTGATGAACAACATAGGAGTTCATGTGGGAAGATATGGTTTTTCCAATATATTCTGGACTCAGGTTTTATATGGTTTTTTAGTTCCATGAAGATGTTAAATAATAGGGGATAAAACTGAACCCCGAGGGACCTCACAGTCCAATGGCCAGGGTATTCATCAGGAGTTCCTTTGCATTGTCTTCTGAGTTCTCCCCTCCAGGAAGGACCAGATCTATTGCCTCCAAGTCCCATCCCAGAGAGACAGCTTCAAAGAATGTCACAGGCAGTGATAACAAAAGCAGTTTGTTTTGCGTTTCTTGTTGAAAAGCAACTAGAGATGCAGTCAAATGAACAGAGATTCCACTGCCCACTTCCCAGCACAGAACACCCACCAGGGCAACCAAAGTCATCTGGGTTCCATAACCAGGCCTGAAGCCAGATTAAAAGGGATCGAGATAATCCGCTTTATCCAGAAAACCTTGGAGATTTTTCTTCCTCTCTTTCTGTTTGTGAGAAATAAGGTGAAGGTGTAGTTCTAGTGTAAATGTAACATCTCTGTTGTAACTAGAAATCTTGTGATAAAGCTGGACAACTATTTTCTAGCCATGCAAATCTTTTTTTGGATAACGGTTTGGGTTCCCTTTAGCATAACTGGGGTATAAATGAATGAATGAATGAATGAATGAATGAATGAATGAATGAATGAATGAATAAATAAATAAATAAATAAATAAATAAATAACTGCATGAGGTTACATCTTAATAACTGGTTGTTCCTCTATATTTTACATTAAGACCAGAATCCTGTCAGTTATTTACGCTGGCAGAAGTGCAAACGTGTAAATTACAGTGGCAAGTTGGGGCTAGCTAATGAGTCCTGCTTCCACTCTGTGCTAGTGTCTCTGCTTCTTTTCCAGAGTTGATGTATTGAAGATTTCTCATAAGGAAGACACAGAAGTTATACCTGAAGACACAAGCTTAATAACTCTCAGGTATGGTGAATTTTACTACAATTCCTACCAGTTCTTTAAGTGCAGTAATGGTCAGCATGGCTTTTTAGGTTGCCCTTGAATGACTTACAAGTACTTTGAGGAAACATCATGGTTGCATTCAGTCAGATGTGTTAATGGAAATGATGTAAAATTTGGAGCAAAAAGGATACTCTCACTTCTCTTTGTTTCACTGCCATGAGTGTGCACAGTTTCTAGGATGTCTGATGATATAACACCTATAGGTCCTTTGCAGCCTTTGCAGCCTTGTGGCTGTTTTTAGGCTCCATTTGTCCAAGGAATTCAAATACTTTATTGACAACTCTCTCCCAACTCTTTCGGGCAGCAGGTCCAACACTGGGTTCCCTAGGCTGGATGTTCTTGGATTGCAGCTTCCAGAGGCCCTTGCTAGAGCAGCTGGAGTTGGTGTTAGAGAATGTCTCCATGTCCTGGGTGTTATTCCACTACTTAAACGTTTGTATTGCCTTTCATTAAAGCAAGTACAGTGGTGCCCTGGAAGACGGGTGCTCCGTTTAACGACGAATCCACATTATGCCAAGGTTTTTGCGATCGCAAAAGTGATCACAAAACAATGTTTTGAATGGGGGAATTTCGCTGTGCGATGATCGGTTCCATGTTTTGGGAACCGATTTTCGCTTCCCAACGATCAAAACAGCTGATCGTCGGGTTTTCAAAATGGCCACCAGGTGCTCAAAATGGCTCCCCGCTGTGTTTAGGAGCCATTTTTTGCTGCACAGGCACCTGAAAATGGCTGCCCCTATGGAGGATCTTCGCTGCACGGTGAGTTCTTAGCCGATTGGCACACATTAACCAGGTTTTAATGCGTTTCAATGGCTTTTTTATTTTTGCTTTACAACGTTTTCCTTCTACAGCGATTTCGCTGGAACGAATTAACGTCATAATGCAAGGCACACTGTACAAGATTTGCAGTAGTGGAATAACACCACTGGACATAGCCCACAGGAAATGTATGAAATAATAAATTTATTTATTTCATTTATACCCCGCCTATCTGGTCAAATGTGACCACTCTAGGCAGCTGAAATTTTTATTGAAGAAGTAAGTACTCAAGCAAATGCATAAAATAATCATCATAATAAATAAATACATTTCAGAAATTCCATTTTCCAAGACATATACCCCTATTTCCCCAAAGATAAGACTGGGTCTTACGAGTATATTTATTTTTGCTCCATTAGGGTTTATTTTTAGGAGATATTTTATTTTTTAATGTACAGCAGTCTACATTTATTCAGATACAGTCATGTCATCTTCTGGAATATCGTAATAACTCTCCAAACTCTGAATTCCAGCCTGAATTTTTTGTGACTCCCTCCAGGGGGGAGTGGTGACAGCGGCGGTGATGTTGGCGTTAAGGGCCCCAACACAAACTGGCACCAAACCCCTTCTGCCACAGGACTGGATGGTTTCTGTCTCGTTTCAGGAACACACTTGCTTGTTGAGGTGGTGGTGGGAAAGGGAAGTATGGATCCCGCAGGCCTGCGCAGACGAGACTAAGTCAATCCGGGTTGCTGCGCAATGAGTCCCTGGTGGAGGGCGGGTTTTTATTTTACTGGGGCTTATTTTTGGGATAGGGCTTATATTATGAGCATCCTGAAAAATCATACTAGGGCTTACTGTATTTTTAGGTTAGGTCTTATTTTCAGAGAAACAGGGTAATAGTGCAGCTGAAGCACAAACAATTAGGCCTTTCTCTTTAGAGGCAGGGTGACAGGCTTTCTGTCAACTGCAAGTACATATACATCCTATTTCATAATTGCATTTATTTATTAAAACATTTCAAAACCACCCTTTCCCCCTTTGAATACCAAGTAGATTTGCAAATATTAAAATAATACAGTGGTGCCCCGTATAGCGAGGTTAATCCGTTCCGGATTAACCTTCGCTATACGAAAACATCGCTGTG